TGGCATCTGACTGCGAAGTAGGAAGAAGATTTGAACCTATGGTTTACTGGTTGAAAGCCAAGGGATTTAATTAATGTCACTACTTCAAGAACCCCATTACAAATTATTTGTTATATGCTTCTGAAAACAACCATTGACAGATAGTGTTTGCAGAACAGATAGACTTAGCGTATGTGAAATTGTTAGACAACTCACTTGTACGTGTTGATTTCATTCAAAACAACAATAAAAGCTGAGCTCGTGAAGCCATCTAGTTCATTGAACGCAACATCATCAAAAGCATCCAGATGAACTATAAATCTTCATCATCAAACTATAATCACTATCAACCATATAAAAGTGTTACCATTATCTCAAGATTATTTAAATGTATGCAGATGAAATTAGGTTTGAACTTGTGACATGATGATTAAAAGTTAAGTTTTACAGGAGTTAGACAAACATGATATTAGTTACTGAATTCGCACTGATCACCAACCAATATCAATATTTCTGTTCAGGGACTATGGTTTCTTGCCAATTCCTTCCGGTCAACAAACGATCAAAGGTGTGTATGTATATAAACCACGCATTCTATTTATCATAACAGTCAATAAAAAGGTTTATTGTACACAGCCTAATCACTTAATTCCTGAAAGCGATAATTAAATACCAACTAATAGCAATCACACAAAGAAACAATATTGACTGTCCATTAATCGTGTTAATATGTACAGTTATTTTGTGCCATTATTGATCAACACTCAGGAAACTAGAGGGATATAGACAACTAATGTATACATAATAGAATAATAAAAAAAATGAAAGGCCGGTGTGTAGGCGTATTTATAAATATACTGTGGATATATATATATATATATATATATATATATATATATATATATATATATATAAGTAGTCAATACATATACACCACCAGTGTACACAGTTAATACGTGCATATATATTTCAGCAGGTTCTGTACCCCGTTGGTATCATACCGAAGAAGCAAATAATATTTCTGAAAAAGATTTTCATTCTTTTAAACAACATAATTTGGAAATTCTTAAAAACGAAATAACATTTTGCACAGTTCTTATTTTTCAAGTTACTTTGTTTTTCTCTTCAAAATGAAAACTGGACAAGTGGTATAATGTTTAAGATTTTTCGGTGAGACTATAATTTATGGACGATTTTTGAACGACGCTAAAGTGACATTGAGAGTATCCCCCTAACAACTACAACTAAATGAGGGTTATGAACCATTGTAATTATAAAAATTTTATAAAAGGGGCTAATTGCTTTAAATGAGAATTATGATTTACAGTTGATGGTTAAGGTTGGTAATTAGATTTAGGATTTTCATCACGAACTGACATTAGCTATAATGCCAAAACTCCATTTAGCCAAATGGATGAATGAATTTTGCGCCAAAATCTTATATCTGACTGGTTCGTCCATAAGTAATAGTCACACCGATTTTTCATTAGATTACAGTTAAATGGAAATACTGTTCCAGCTATTGAATACTAGATTGAGGTGGGTAATATAATTAAAAGGGAAACAATTGGTTATTTCGATTATATTGAACTTGTCTTGCTTTCAGTTTATTGATTTCTAATCGGGAATGTGCATTTGTAATCAGTTATAGACATAAGCAACATAGAACCTGGGATAAATATGAGTTAGTACAAATCTCTGTACCATATTATCAATCTGAGACTTAATTAGCAAGACGAATGCTAAAGGAGTTGAAATTATTGTAGTAACAATGATAGTGAAAAAGATTAAATGTTCAGCGTATGGATAGAGTAGACAGAGTGTAAAGAAGATATGTATGAATGAACGCCAAACCGCAAGATCGAGAGGAAGATAAAAAGTGAACGTATCTATCTCAGTGTGACAGCGATTCTGACCCATACCATTCGAAATCGCTAGTTTTCAATCGTGGTTTTCACATAGACACTAACAAGGTAGTCTGTGCCAACCAACATGGCTGAAACCAGTAATCAGTACTTTCATATAATGATGCCACATCTTCATTTGGTCGCTAAGGTTCATTTGTATATTTCAGCAAAATAATGCTCATTTCTAGATATTCGAAAACATGTCGTTGAATATGACTACTGGAGGTAACCAATTCACCAAGTTCAGGTTTAGGTACTCAACTTTGACTAATACTGCTTGTTTGGCAACTATTTAATTACCTAAACCAAATTAGGTACTCCAGTGTTGGTTGAAAGTCAACTGTTTTAAACATTAAACTATCATGATAGTAATTCACCGGAACCTCTTTTGAAGAACATACTATGAACTTACTTTTCAATGATAGTGGCCAAAACATTGTTATTTAATTCTTTGTGTTCTGTTATTTGTAAAAACAAAAAAACATATGCATAGTTCACCAAAATGTTTATAAAAATGATTATCTGGACTAGGATAAATTATTTACAGGTCAAATATTAAACCATGTGACACAATGATTGACCTTGTTCTCATTACACATGCATAGGGATTTAATGAAATTATTCTATTGTTGACACTATTAGATATAGACCGATAGGTTAGTTTCTGCAACTTTTGAACCTATACAGATCGATATGTCATAATTTTGAATGAACAAAATTTAAAGAAAATCAATCTCACTTTTGGTTAACCGATTTTTAGAGATCCATTTACTGTACAGTATATATCTAATATGACGAGTAGTGAACTACACCTAACAATAAGTTGCGAATGACCTGCATTTGGTATATTCTCCACTTGTGTATTTGTTAAATGACTGCTAATCGTGTCTGTCCTTATGTTCAATACTTTATATATAGACGTGTTATGTTATTATAAAACAAAGAGTATTCTATTGGGTAACTGTTTTGACTTCTGATACCATGTAACCTGTGGAGGAACTCGAATGCCTCACTTCTGTCTGAAATTTTTGTGCAGGAAGACAATGAAGACTTCACGATCAAACCATCTAGCTCAAGAAACAAAACACCACCAAAAAAATTGATGGAACTATCACTACCATATGGTATCACTGAATCCTATCTATCGATTAGAATTCTAGACATATATCTTAATGATTACAAGCCTCGTTTACATATTAGATCCTCCTGTATAACAACGTCAAAATCATATTAAGACCCTTTTTGAGAACATTTCATATTTAACGCTGCTTTTGACTTACGTAAACCGTCTTTATTTTCTTAACACACTTAACACTTTTAAATAGAAACCTTACAAATTTTCAAATCAATTGTCTTTTGTTTCATAAGCTGTAGTGATGTTAATAGTAGCCATCTATCTATTGGTCCAGAGTATTGAAGACGATCATAGGTGGAATGTCCAGCTGGTAGCTCCTCATTATCATAATCAGTCTTCGTATAAATTAGAAGAACTAAATACCATTGTAAACTAAGATGGTTGGTGGCTAGCACATACGCCAATAAGAGACTGGCCAATTACAGTTCTGAGCATCAATGGGAAGATTCGAACAAACAATATCAATAATCAAAAAAATTACTACAATCTCTACGAAACCCCCTTTCTGATAACAATAATCATATGCTCACTAGTGACTGGCTTCAAGAGGTATTTTCTGGAGTTCTAGTGAGAAACCGTGACCAGTGGAGTTCAACCAGATCTGTTGTGAGATATCAACTCACTGAAGACAATGACCCGATTTCGTAGATTGGTTGAAGTTAGACACTGACACCGTTGGATGCCGGCTCAGTGATCTACAAGTTAAACATTCGCGCGCGAGATTGAAGGTCCTGGGTTCGAATCTGGCGGGGGGGGCGGAACCGTGGATGCACACTGCTGAGGAGTCCCACACTAGGACGAAATGGTTGTCCAGTGCTTTCAGGTTTTTCATGATCGTCTAACTTTAATTGACTCATGATTTCAACTAGTGAAATTCCTAAAATCTCCACAAAACCCCTTCTGACTTGAAAATATGTTAGATTAATTTTTGGTAACTTCATTACCGGTACAACAAATTCCTGTTTTATTTATAAAATTAACCTATAGATATGAATGTACAACATTTTAGAAAATAACATGATTGACAAACAATTTTTCTTCGTTGAAATATCTTTTACTTCACAATTTATTGATCATTGGGTGGTGATCAATGTCATGCTTGTCTAGTCCTTATTAGTGCAGATCGAATGCTATCGATCATGTTGCAATGTGGCCACCAGTCTAGGTGACTACATCTCAGTCCTACAGGAGGTTAGTCACGGCTCGGATAGCTCAGTGGTAACGTCTCTGACTGTGAAGCTGGGTGACACGAGATCGAATCCGCCAGGGAGCACCAGTTCCCTCAAGATTACAGGTACACCTTGCTGACGAGTGCCAAGTAGCACGAAACCCGGGTCTAGGATTTCCTGTTGACTACCTCCAACCACCATCTAAATCTTTTACTTCACTTACAAACGGAACAGATATGAGTGCATTTTGAAACTTTATTTCATAAAACAAGTAGATATTTAAGAAAATTAAAAAGAAAAAAAACAAGACAGAAACAATTAACAAACAGAATTTTATATTAATCCAACAAGTTATATACTACACAGTACACTGAAGAGTGACAAGAGTTAAATGAAGTTATCAAATTTTACAAGTAATAACAAAACCCAAAAAGCAAACAGACTATATTTGAATGTAAGTTTGTATGCTTATGTTCTCCAATTATCAGAACATTGAATTAGTAAAAACAACTAGGAATTTCAGTGTACCAGGCACAGACATAAAAATAGTTATTTGTAATCAATGACCACAAACTTCATTATTAATTGATATGTTTCGATATGAACACTTTGGAATTCCTTGAATAGTACTACATTCAACTAGGCAAGCACAAACACAGAGAGATTTATAGACAATAATAATAATAAGATTATGTCGATAAGAGCACCACCCATGATATCATCAAAAGTAATGAATTATGAAAGAAAACGGAAAGTTAGAAAAAAATCATAATCATATATACATATGCATTTGTGTACATATATGTATAGGGGACATTTAAATAAACTATTAGAGTTCACTTCGAACTGGTGTAAGTCGAGGTTTCTTGACACGTTTAACACTTGATTTTTTCGCTTTACGTGCTGATTCTGCTCTCAGTTTCTCTCTAATCATTTTCTATAAAAATAAATAAATAAAGCGATAATACGAGGTGAAGAAAAGAAACAAGCAGATTGATACAAATTTAAACGAAAAACAAACTGTAGTCAGTTAGGGGAGATACCAATGAAAACCAAGCAACACACACACAAACTGAGTAGCTTAGCTGTATTGTCATAGTGTGGGATTACTGATATGTTTGTATAAAACGACGATTGTTTTGTACTTTATTGAGTGCTTAATTCCAATTACGATACAATACATTTACATGTGTGTATGGTATTTTTATCATCATCGTTTCTTGGTAAATTCGTGACTACTAAAGTATGTATTGGGCAGGTCTGGGTGCTAGTAGTTCATATATTACACTAAATGCTGCAATTACTTTCATTTATCATAACTACTACTCAGTGATGTGAATTCACGTTTCGAGATAAAATTGAACTAATTAATATCATTAGGTCTGTAGTTAACACAATTTTAGACCACTAACTTTGAAATCAATTTGTTTGATATGTAATGCACTTTGAAGATTTCACTTGAAAGAATAGGTCTTCCTCGATCTGTGCCCAAAAACCACCAAAATTTGTATTCCGATGACAATCAGTCACTAAGACATGTCAAATTACGTTGTTTATGCATTTTACGTCTTGTAATTTATGTATGATACAATCCATTTTTATAAAAATTCATAGTATACACTATTTCAAATGATCAACGAACACTAGTTTTGAACATAATTATGTCTTTGACTGGCTTACTTCAGTCAACAAACTAACCTTTTAAGTTTAGGATTTTTAGTTAATGCTGATTAGGTTCACTGGATATTCTTAATTCTTTGAGGATTCCATAACTACTCAGCGATTTGAGCTGAAAATATTCAGCACGGCAGCTAACACACTTTATCACAGAGGTGGTCTCGTCAATTGAATACGCGTATAACCGGGTAATATGTACTAAAGAGTTTTAATTCTGATACAACTCTGTTTTAAGTCTCAATTTACATGCGTAAAGAGCTAATAAAATATTATCCAATCGTCTCAATCAACACATATGAAATGGGGTCGTTAGACACTGCACTACAACCCTTGAAAGAAACAAAGGGAACAAACTATTCACGATCATTACTTACTTACTTACTTACGCCTGTTACTCCCAATGGAGCATAGGCCGCTGACCAGCATTCTCCAACCCACTCTGTCCTGGGCCTTCTTTTCTAGTTCCATCCAATTCTTGTTCATTTTTCTCATGTCTATCTCCAGTTCTCGGCGTAATGTGTTCTTTGGTCTTCCTCTTTTCCTTTTACCTTCAGGATTCCATGTGAGGGCTTGTCTTGTGACGCAGTTCGGTGCTTTCCTCAATGTGTGTCCTATCCACTTCCAGCGCTTCTTCCTGATTTCTTCCTCCACTGGGATCTGGTTTGTTCTCTCCCACAGTGCGCTGTTGCTAATAGTGTCCGGCCAATGGATTTGAAGTATTTTGCGTAGACAACTGTCAATAAACACCTGTATTTTCTGGATGATGGCTTTTGTAGTTCTCCAGGTTTCTGCCCCATACAGTAGAACTGTCTTGACATTTGTATTGAAAATCCTGACCTTGGTGTTGGTTGACAGCTGCTTTGAGCTCCAGATGTTCTTCAGTTGTAAATATGCTGCTCTTGCTTTGCCGATCCGTTCTTTCACATCTGCATCAGATCCACCCTGTTCATCAATGATGCTGCCCAAATACGTAAAGGTTTTTACATCTTCCAAATCTTCTCCATCAATTGTGATTGGATTGGTGCATGCTGTGTTGTATCGGAGAATCCTGCTTTTCCCTTTGTGTGTGTTGAGACCTACTGCTGCTGAGGCTGCTGCCACGCTGTTTGTCTTCTCCTGCATCTGTTGTTGCGTGTGGGATAAAAGGGCCAGATCGTCTGCGAAGTCTAGATCATCCAACTGCATCTTAGATGTCCATTGTATCCCGTGCTTCCCTTCAGACGTTGACGTCTTCATGATCCAGTCGATCACCAGGAGAAAGAGAAACGGTGAGAGTAAGCAACCTTGCCTAACACCGGTCTTCACTTTGAACGACTTTGTCAACTGTCCTCCATGCACGATTTTGCAGTGTAATCCATCATATGAGTTCTGTATGATATTGACTATTTCTGGGGCACGCCGTAGTGTCGAAGAAGTTTCCATAGTGTTGTTCTGTCCACGCTGTCAAATGCCTTTTCGTAGTCAATGAAGTTGATGTAGAGTGATGAATTCCATTCAATTGATTGTTCCACAATGATCCGTAGAGTTGCGATTTGGTCTGTACACGATCTATCCTTACGGAATCCTGCCTGTTGGTCTCGAAGTTGGGCGTCTACACAGTCCTTCATCCTGTTTAACAATACCCTGTTGAAGACTTTTCCCGGTATTGAGAGAAGAGTGATGCCTCTGTAGTTATCACACTTGCTGAGATCGCCTTTCTTCGGTATTTTGATTAGAAGTCCTTCTTTCCAGTCTGTTGGTACTTGTTCCTCATCCCAAATCTTATTGAAGAGAATGTGGAGTATCCTTGCAGTTGCCGCTACGTCTGCTTTTAGTGCCTCCGCTGGGATGTTGTCCGGTCCTGCTGCTTTGCCACTCTTGATTTGTCTGATGGCCATGCTGATTTCTTCAATTGTTGGTGGGCCAACATTGATTGGGAGGTCCGTGGGTGCTGCTTCGATGTTGGGTGGGTTCAGTGGCGCTGGTCGATTCAAGAGTTCTTTGAAGTGTTCTATCCACCTGTTTTGTTGCTCTTCAATGTGGGTGATTACCTTGCCTTCCTTGCTTTTCACTGGTCGTTCTGCTTTGCGGCGATTTCCAGAGAGTTTCTTTGTCGTGTCATACAATTGTCTCATGTTTCCTTCTCTTGCAGCCTTTTCCGCCGTCGTTGCTAAATCTTCCACATATTTACGTTTGTCGGTTCTGATACTCCTCTTCACTTGTTTGTTTATTTCCGTGTATTCAGCTTGTGCCTTAGCTTTTTCTGCTCTTGTTCGGCTGGTATTGATCGCTGCCTTCTTGTTTTTTCTTTCTTGAATCTTATCCAGTGTATCAACAGTGATCCATTCCTTGTGGTGGTGCTTCTTGTGACCCAGGACCTCATGACATGTTGAAGTGATTGCCTCTTTGATCCCCTTCCAGTTGCTCTCCACAGTAGTTCCTTCTCCATTGAGTAGATCATGAAAGGCCTGGAACTTGTTGCTGAGGACTATCTTGAATTTGTTGAGTTTGTTAGTATCCTGGAGAAAGGCCGTATTGAACTTTTGTGATACTGTCTGCCCCGTTGTCCAGTGCTTCTTGAGTTTCAATTTCATCTTGGCGACCAGTAAGTGATGATCTGATGCTATATCAGCTCCTCTCTTGGTTCTCACGTCCTCTACAGTCCTCCTGAACGTTTTGTTGATGCAAATATGGTCGATTTGGTTTTGTGTAGAGTGATCCGGTGAAGTCCATGTGGTTTTGTGTATGCGTTTATGTGGGAATATGGTGCCGCCTATGACCAGCTTATTGAAGGCACATAGATTTGCAAATCTCTCACCATTTTCGTTTCTTTCTCCCAGTCCGTGTCGTCCCATGATGTCTTCATATCCAGTGTTGTCCGTCCCAACCTTGGCGTTGAAATCTCCCATCAAAATGGTCAGGTCCTTTGTTGGGCACTTCTCGACGATTGACTGCAGCCTATTGTAGAATTGATCTTTAGCGTCTTCATTGTAGTCGTTGGTAGGCGCATAGCATTGGATGATGTTCATTGAAATGCCCTCTTTCTTTGTTTTGAAGGAGGCTTTGATGATCCTTGGTCCATGAGATTCCCATCCTATAAGTGCATTTTGCGCTTGTTTGGACAGCATCAATGCAACTCCTTGTGTATGTGGTGCATTTTCTTCTTCATGGCCGGAGTATAACAGGAGCTCTCCTGTAGTTAGTCGTTGTTGTCCAACTTGTGTCCAATGTGTTTCACTGATCCCAAGTACCTCTAGGTTGTATCTTCTCATTTCTGCAGCAATTTGGAAGGCTCTTCCGGTGTCCCACATTGTACGAACATTCCATGTACCTAAATAAATGGTTGCTCTGGTTGTCAGAAGGGGCATCGGCCTCGTAACTTCCGAAGGAATTCGGCTTTCATCATGAGGCGTCATAATTCTTCTAAATGAAGACCTTCTGACTCCCAGGGCAGAGTTTAAAAGGTTTGAACAATTTTTTCTGGTTAGCGTTTTTTTAGCGAGTTAGTTTTCTACGGGATGGGGACGCTAACCCCATGCCCAACCCTCCTCCTTTATCCGGGCTTGGGACCGGCAGTAGCCCCCGGAGGGACTCCAGGCGGAGTTATTCACGATCATACCTACTAGAAAAGATATCACATTAAACAATGTTGATATGTCAATCAGCTAGTCACTTTCAATGTTAAAAATAACTGATTTATTAGTCATAAACTAGTCTTTTTGGACTAGTAAATTTCTAACTGAGAATAATATTCCCCTTTGCAACATAGATAATCTACGACGATTGTTCAACTTGTAAGTAGCATCACTCTTCCCTCTACACCGATAACAAGAGTCATCATATGATCGTTACTGAGCAGAACTCCGAGAATGTCCCTCAAAGTTTGATAGTGCTGGTGATACACAACAGGTATCCCCGATGGTATTAGATAATGGTCTCATATTATTGAGCGAACCTACTGGAATTAAATACTTGAACCATTGGATAACCAAACCAGTGGTCTGAAGATAACTTGTTCGGTACCAAGATCTGAAGGGTCGTGGAAGCACATTACTGAAGGGTTCTTTTTGGTGTCCCTGAATTCTCTGAGCTGGATACCTTAATCATAAAGCCATCATTGCCTTTTTAGACAACATTATCAGCACAAATTTGAAACAGGTCAGAGGGGAAGATGATCAAAATCGGAGAAACAGAAGTAGCTATTAGTCATAAGTGGAGAAATTTGAACAGATCACTTCTATTTTAAGTTCGCGCTGATGATGTTGTCTAAAATGACAATGAAAACTTCACAACTAAACTACCAAATTACCATTTTGAGCTACAGATCATCTCTACTATTTCAAAGATGATAAATTTTGTACAAACAAAATAATTGTTCAGTTGTACTTGGTTTTCTAACTATGATTAGTAGTACATAACAGGTACTGTAAATATTTCATACCAAAAATAAAAAAGTTCCGAATTACATTTGTACAACTAACAAATTACTTGAAAAATAAATCATCAGATAATAATTTTTGATTGAGATCATGAACCGATTGATGTTAGACCACTATTGAAAACCTGGAAGCACTGGACGACCGTTTCGTCCTATTGTATGACTCTTCAGCAGTGCGCATCCACGATCTCGCTCGCGGGATCATCAATCGGTTCATGATCTCAATAAAAAACTTAACAATCACCACAACCCCTAAACTGATAATATTTTTCAATAAATTTACCTGATCTGAATTAAACTCATTTACATAATTTGAATCTCTGATCACAAAATTTAATTCTTGTTCAGTTAAATGTAAAATATTTTCATCTGATTCACTCATTAATTGTGATTCCCGTAATAAATTAAATGACCATTTTAATAATATAGATATCTCATCAATTCCATCATAATGTGAATGATAAACATCAGGAAAACGTAGAATGAAATCACATAGTACAGCTGTATTTTCAAAAGTTAATGCGAAAGCTGAAAAGAATTTTTTTTAGAAAAGAAAAAGGAAACGGATAAACAATAACTAATTACAACATAATTTTAATAAATAAGAAAGTTCGACGGAAAGGGAATTTGTTGTGTCCGAAGGAGACTAAATTATGGGTAACGTCTGGGAACTACTTATGGACTGTTATTACAATATATGTAAACTTATTGTATAACTGTTAAGTAACTGGATTATATATATATTTATATTTCTCTTATTATAAGCTTTCATTTGACTCACTGGCCACTATTATACGATTTACTATTCTTAAGTTATTCCCAATCTATTAGTTACGGTCTTTCACACTTACAACCACTCTTGGCTTGACCTTGTATAATAATTATTTTTCATTTTATAGTGTGATGGGATCGGGTCTGCTTGTATATAAACTACGTACATCTGAAATATACGATTTATATAGTGGGGGCTGGGATTATGTCCTGGACTCAACGGGTAGGGTTAGGCTAGAAGGACTGATAAGTGTTCAGAGTTGACGCAAGGCTGTTGTGCTGGTTGATGTGTCATTGCTTTAGCACAGGAACAAGGTCATATAAGTCGGTATTCTAATTGGAGATTTTATTGCATGACATTTGGCGGGATTCAGGACGTAACAGAATATATATATATATAAACCTGGAAAATGATGGCTTAGTGGTTACGGCGTTCGAATTTTAGCCGTTAAGTCCTAGCTTCGAACCCTGTGTCATTTCCTTCGATTCGGACAACCAGGTAGTATCGTTAACCTTCAAAATTACAGTATGGCTCATACTTGTGCACCTGATGAAGAGATGTGTATTTTGCATACCAAATTGATAGAGATTTATAGTAAGTGGAGAATTTTCGAATTATTGAGTTTTCTTAGAGAAATTGTTCAGTGCTGGAAAATTGATTGTTGTTCTGAGCAACATTATTAAAGCTAAATTCATATATAAGTGAGCTTTTTAATTATTTTCCGAGTGTTAAAGCAGCCTGTTCTGATGACTTTGGTTGTGAATGGTCACCGCCAACGTATCTTTGTCTAAGTATCATTTATGTAGATAATAGCGAGTCGATAATGTAAAGATCAACGTCTTAGGAAAGAACTAATGATGTTAAAATTCAAATTTCTTCAGTATACTGTGGGTTGTGAAGATTGTTGAATTTTTTAGTTGAGCACCATGGGTTGGTCTTAGTCTGACCGAAGTCAGAAATGTAAGTCACTGGATGCCAACTCGCTGATTTGAAGGTTAACAGCTCGTTTCAAGATCTGAAAATCTTACGTTCAATCTGCAGCAGAGTTGTAGATGACAATGTTGAGGAATCTCGTCAATGGCTGCTTAACTAAAGTCACTTTGTGGTGTAAAACAATGAAGGTCTAGTTGTTAGAAAAAAATTGCCAGTAACTATTATTATTATTATTATTATTACTATTATTATTATTATTATTATTATTATTATTATTATTATTATTATTATTATTATATACTTACCTTGTCCTATTGTATCATTTTTAGTCTCTGAATTAATATCAGTATTTCTTAGTATTTTGCGTGATTCCTGGAGAATCTAATAAAGTAATAGTAACAACCATGACGAGAACAAAAGGAAATTATTAACTTGAAGCAAAAATCAATATTAATGAGTGTATTTATCATCCCAACTAAAATCATATTAAGCGAAACTGTAGTGAAATTATAGTTTTTTAGACCAAAATTTTCAAAGTAAAGAGATTGTGCTTAGTTGACCTGTATGTGTATTAACGAACGCTCGTTTAATCTTGTTTAGACAGATTATTATTACTACCCTTGTCTCCTCTAACTGAAGTAGGAAGAAGTTAGGGTCTCAACTTGTTGCCCTAATGGTTGATACCATTCTATACAGTCTAGTGAGTGAGTGGGCATAATAACAGAGTTTCAGTTTAAATTATAAAATATTAACACTCGGTGGAATACACAGTAAATTCAGCCGATAAGAAACAAGTGAGATGGAAATATCCAAACATACTACTGAACATCATGAAAACAAACGACAATATGAATAAACCCGAGAAACTTGTATTTTTATTATTAGTAACAGATCCGAATTATAGTATTGTGTTTACTAGGATATGTTTTGAGAGTTGACAAGAATTCAACAAATAACTAAACAAACTCTGATTTCTTTTTATTGATCGACTGCTCCCTGGCTAAATCAGGCCAAGGATTGTCTACTGTACAATTAATATGAAGCGAACAAGCTAACAGGATAAAATGGGCAATATATCCATACCTATGACTATATACACAATAGAGACTTAACTTTTATCGTTCAATTCAAGTCAGTAACCAAGTACGGATTGGTGTACTTGTCTTTGTGAGTAACAATAATTATCTAATAAATGATGACTAGTAATGTAACCTGATTATCTAGACCATACAAAGAGGAGTGGGGTTCAAACCTGTGATCTCAATTAGTCAGTCAGCTATAACGTAGGACCAGGCACATATATACATCCATACAAGTTGCCATATCGCATTATCACAACAAGATGAACACCGAATTTATGGAAGCAATTAACTCAATGGTGGTAATATATAAAAGAAAGATTGCATGTAAAGATATAGTACAGGAAGAAAGATTTAGTACGTAGAAAGATATGAGGCGATTTTAATCTCTTAGTTTAAGGGAAGGCAGAGAGTGTACGTGCTTTTATTAACATCCTGAAAGCCCTATATACAAACACCTCAGGCAGAGTAAGGGCATACAACCACCTCTCTTCATTGTTCCACTCAAGCAGTGGGGTTAGACAGGGTTGCCCAATCTCACCATTCCTCTTCAACGTTGCCATCGATGACATTCTGGAAACAGCTCTGGTGGATGTAAGTAATAGCAGTGTGGATCTGTTGCCTGGAGAAAGACTTCTCGACCTTGAGTATGCGGATGATATTGTCTTACTGTCCGATAATACCCAAGCCGTGCAATCCGCACCTAATCAGTTGGCAATCAGTGTCCGTAGGTATGGTATGTGCTTTGCACCTTCGAAGTGCAAAGTACTCCTACAAGACTGGCAGGATTCCAATCCTGTACTCACCCTGGATGGTGAGCAGATAGACGTAGTCGAGAAGTTCGTGTATCTGGGTAGCTGCATAAGTGCTGGTGGGGGTGTGAGTGATGAGATCAATGCACGTATAGTGAAAGCCAGAGCGGCTTATGCCAATCTGGGCCATCTATGGCGCCTTCGAATGTTAGTCTGGCTGTAAAAGGTCGGATCTACAACGCGTCGGTGAGAGCAGTTTTGCTCTATGCTTGTGAAACCTGGCCTCTACGAGTTGAGGATGTTAGACGACTCTCTGTGTTTGATCATCGTTGTCTCTGAAAGATTGCTGACATCCAGTGGCAACACCATGTTAGTAATGCAGAGGTTCGGCATCGTGTGTTCGGGCGCAGAGACGATAATCCAATTGGTGTCGCGATCTTGAAACATCGACTTCGGTGGCATGGACATGTTCTACGAATGTCGTCCCAGAGAATTCCACGTCGTGCATTATTTGCCGCCGCTGGGACTGGTTGGGAGAAGCGGAGAGGTGGTCAGTCTATGACATCGTGTCGTGGCATGAAAGAAAGCTGCAAAGGACTGGCTTGTGTTGGTCCTTCACGACTCCCTGGTTGGGGTCTGAGAGATGGTGCTACACAGTGGCTAGAGACGTTATCAGATATGGCTCATAATAGAAGCCAGTGGCGATCCTGCTGTAACCTTCTTTTACTTTCTTCATAAAAAGTGGTTCTGTCTCCCTTACCTGAAAGATTTCTTCCGATTGTACCTTTGCGTTCCCTGATTACTAGCACATTACCTTACACCAATCTCTTCGTTATTGTTCTCTCTTTTTTTTGTTGCGCTCCCTAGCTTTTTTTTTCTTTCTTTGTATTCCTCTCGAATTTTCATTGTTTTGTGTGGCGCATATATATTGGCGCTCTCTTGTACCAATATTCATGTGTCCAAATAAATAATAATAAATAAAGAGAGTGTATACATCTACACCATCATGATGGATTCTGAGCCATGTCACCCACAGTTCCCAACCATTGGTTACGATAGTCACGCGGACCCCAACAAAGTAGTCTGCATCTACCAACATGGCTCATACCAGAAGTTGGTGACTTCAAGCACTGATGCCACGTTTTGGTTTGGCCACCCCTAACTTTCTTCCAACTATCCCCAACACCGGTTAGCAATGCACGTTGTGGTAATTGATGTTCAGGCATACGCGACACGTGGCCCAACCATCTCAGTCGATGAAGATTCACAACCTCATCAACTGATTTACCATCATTCCCTAATACCCTGTGTCTAACCTCACTATTACTTACCCGGTGATCCCAGTAGATGCCAGTAATATTTCTAAGGCATCTGTGGTCAAATACTAGTAGCTTACGAGTATCTTCGACTCTTAATGGCCATGTTTTGCGGCCTAATACCCTGTGATCTCAATAGTTGAAAGTAATCTACCATTCCTATTAGTCTTGTATATAATATACACACATGCGTGTAGGTCGAATATTTAAGGAAATATTATAATGGCCAGTTAAAACTAAGCAGCAATTTGTGAATTTTTAAATTAAATTCAGCTTTCTTAACGGACCAATATCCGTTGGAGTATTATTGAAGACCAAAAAACACTTAACAGTAGTTTTGTCCAAATTTGGGACTCCTCTTCAGCAAATAAAGGCCAGTGAATCATAGGATTGAAGTTAAACTCTTCAAGTCTAGAGGGTAGCAATACTTTACAGATGTCCTTCCCTCCTTCAAATCAACCATGACGTAAATCCCAAATAATATAATGCGACAGTAACCTTCCAAAAATAAAAAACGAGGAGGGAAAAATATTTGAAAAACACAATACTTACATTAATAATGTTTTGAAAAATTTTCAGAGCAACATCATCTTGTCGTCCTGATGGTACTTCAGCCAGTAATCGAGCCAATTCCGTCGCATGAATTTCTCTTTTCGTACGAAAAGAAGCTTGATTATCTTTTATTTGTTATGCGATTAAGTAAAATGGCTTGTAATGAAGAGGAGTATACTTATAGAGAGATGAAGTACAACAGTGCGATAGCAACATAGAATCAGAAATAAATGATATTCAACTGGATTAATAAAGTAGTGATTAGTATGTGTGGACATGATAGTCGAATTGATCGTGTTATTGATAAAACAATATCCTACTCGACCATAAGAATATAGCTTGTCAAATATTTTACTGTGCTATTCAAAAACTAGGGTTGTACTTGTCAGGCTGTAAAGTCTAGACCTTTTCCTAGCTCTCTGAATATGTGGAAATACCGACGAAATTTTGAGAATTTCATTGTTTTTAAATAAAAATCGAGATGTGAAAGTGTTAGGTCCAGTTTTGTGTAGAGAGTTGTGTTGGTATACTCTTTCACACATTGACAGCCTAGTATGAAACAGCTCTTCATTGATACCTAGTTCTTCAGCCGGAGTTACCCCAAGATGAAAGATGTCTTCAACTCGAACAAATACCTATGCCGAGCACTTTACTGAAAAATAGATGAATACCAACCGATGAGCAGGTTAGAAATGGATTTCCCAGTTTTAGTTGGAAAGCTATGATATGTTGAGTAAAAGAAATAGATTCTGAAACAAATGCTTAATGGTAACGGTGAATGAAGGTAGAGCTATATAATAATTGTTTCTATTGGACAATATGAACTAGTGTATACTGAATTAGCAGCCAAAATGCAGTATACTCATTTTATTTATTTATTTGAACACATAAATATTGGTACAAGGAGGCACCAGATACATATGCGCCACACAAAACAATGAGAATGGGAAGAGATAAAGAATGTGAGGTGTGTGTAAAAAAAATAATGACCACAAATTAGTGTATGGTAGTGAAATAATATTAGGGGAGGCAGAAAGGTACAACCAGAAATAATTCTCTCAGTTAAAGAAGTTTACAGCAGGTTACAGCAGGATCGCCACTGGCTTCTATTCTGAGCCATATCTGATAACGTCTCTAACCACTGTGTTGCACCATCTCTAGAACTCCAGCCAGGGAGTCAAGAAGGACCATCAGAAGCCAGCCTTTTTAGTTTTCTTTCATACCACGACACCATGTCACAAACTGACCACCTCTCCGCTTCTTCCAACCAGTCGCAGCGTCGGCAAATAATGTACAACGAGGAATTCTCTGGGGCGAAATTCGTAGAACATGTCCATGTTATAACTTGTCGTTTGGATGCTTATTGTCTTGGATCTTATAATGCTACTTTTTGTAACCGGTCGTCGCCGATTGTTATGTCGGAAACGCTTATCACTTATACTCGGAACGATGGACCTCTGCAATTCCCACGACGCGAAAGTAAGAACATAAAGACTGGTATAAGTGATGATTTATTAACCCCAAAACACAACGACGACTGTAGTAGAAAACACACTCATTTATATATTGATTGTACACCCATTTTGATTATTAATTAGGATGAAATCACATATATGAAAAATACTTAGAGTTATAACAAATCACAGACCGAGCATAGTTCATGTCAATGGAATAAAAGAATATCGCATATTATACAGAATAAAATATCATACGAGAAAAGAAAACAAATACTACATTGAGTAATCATTACATTGAATCAAAACGGAAGTAATCTTGAACTAAACTCATGAGTAAATCAATCGAAAATTAACTTTTCTTTCAATCATATCAGTCCAAGCCACCGAAGTCGATGTTTCAAGATCGCGACACCAATTGGATTATCGTCTCTGCGCCCGAACACACGATGCCGAACCTCTGCATTACTAACATGGTGTTGCCACTGGATGTCAGCAATCTTTCAGAGACAACGATGATCAAACACAGAGAGTCGTCTAACATCCTCAACTCGTAGAGGCCAGGTTTCACAAGCATAGAGCAAAACTGCTCTCACCGACGCGTTGTAGATCCGACCTTTTACAGCCAGACTAACATTCGAAGGCGCCATAGATGGCCCAGATTGGCATAAGCCGCTCTGGCTTTCACTATACGTGCATTGATCTCATCACTCACACCCCCACCAGCACTTATGCAGCTACCCAGATACACGAACTTCTCGACTACGTCTATCTGCTCACCATCCAGGGTGAGTACAGGATTGGAATCCTGCCAGTCTTGTAGGAGTACTTTGCACTTCGAAGGTGCAAAGCACATACCATACCTACGGACACTGATTGCCAACTGATTAGGTGCGGATTGCACGGCTTGGGTATTATCGGACAGTAAGACAATATCATCCGCATACTCAAGGTCGAGAAGTCTTTCTCCAGGCAACAGATCCACACTGCTATTACTTACATCCACCAGAGCTGTTTCCAGAATGTCATCGATGGCAACGTTGAAGAGGAATGGTGAGATTGGGCAACCCTGTCTAACCCCACTGCTTGAGTGGAACAATGAAGAGAGGTGGTTGTATGCCCTTACTCTGCCTGAGGTGTTTGTATATAGGGCTTTTAGGATGTTTGAGGGACAGTGGACAGTAAATTTCAACTATGTTTAGCATGACAAAAACACCACCACGGAGCTGGAAGTTGGTTGAAGCTAGGAGTGTACACAACTGCATAACAACTTAGTATTCTGAAGGTTAGGCGCTTGCATCGGGGCCTCAAGGTCATGAATGCTTTTATATATATGTATATTGTCCTCAATTTTTAGGCCAAATAGGTTTGTTCGCGCACCTGTGAGCACGTCAAATGATATCATAAAGTGTTGCCATCGATGACCGAAAATAAAATGAAAAAAATAACAGCTAAACAGTTGTGGATAATATTTAATGTTCTAAATGTTCACTAAGTTTATCATAGCTAGTATTTTCAGCCGTTTTTTCTGTTTAATTAGTGAGTGAATGTTGTATGTTGAAGCTTAATTTGCATTACGGAACTTTTGATGAACAATGAAGAAGTCGCAAACGACCTTAGCTATTAAACGTGATAACTTTATGCATAGTTAAAATAATAGTCAACGGATTATAGAATTACATTTATAAGGATACAATGTTCATTGCGGAAAGCCCCAAATACAAAGACAGTGAAATTCGCCAAAAAGATGAGAACAGTATTGAAATAATTAAAATTCATCTATCAATAAAAAACAAATTATCATACTGAAGTAACAAAAGATTTTCAAAAATTAGACCAATAAAATAATGTCACAATAAACCATCATGTTTCCTAACATACATGTGTTTAGCTAACTATAGTCTAGAAGATGGACAGGTTTATAATTCGAAAAACAGGCATGTGACTTACTTACCGAACACTTTGTGTATGACAGACAAATTGACTGCCATGTAAAGGTTTATAAACTAAACATTGGACTACAGCAGACATCCAGATTAGATTTCGATCAATACTTGTTTATGGATTGTCTGACTAAATAAGAGTAAGGATTTGGAAGGACAGGGGTATATACCGTCTCTTTGTGGCTTCTGAAGACGCTTCCATGCTATAGTTTAAATGAAATGATAGATTCTAGTGAAAGCATTATAACATCCTTCTGAAACCTAGGAACTCAGATGTGTCAATCATATAAATTAACGACAGTGGCTGTATGTTGTGACTCCATATACAACCATTTACTTCGAACAAGCAATAACTGGAAACATGAAAATAGACAGTTTGACCTGGAGACTTTTATCATCAACACAACAATGGACAATGATATTCAACAAAAAGCTGATGCCAATTGTGAAGTGAGTGCCTAGAATTTTGTAATGAGCTCACATTCGCCTTGACAGATGAGGGAAAATGTCAACTAGACCTCCCAGAAATTGTCTTTAAAATGGTGATATTTTCAGAAAACACGTTTAATGATAGTGCTACTAAGGAGTGCAACTAGCTTATTCCAATCAAACAAGTGACACTACTTTGTTTCTTATGTCCACTTAAAGCGCAAACCAATTATTTCGATGAAATAATTCAATCCCCAACTGCAAAACCAGAGGAAGCACACTTTACATTAGCTAATACAAAATAACAACACCCTATAAATACGAATAGTGCGACTTTTCTGAAAAGAACTTAAGTAAAATTATATATTTATGATGGCGAGTACATACTCATGATCGAAAACTGCTAATCTAACAAAACATTCACACAGAGCACTAAAGCCAAGAGGGACGTTTCTATTTAAAAATTAGCTCTTCTCAGCAAGTTATAACTACTGAAGTACCTGATACGAACTCACATTATCAGCTTTTATTAGTACCTTTAGGTTAAAAGTGAATTTTTAATGTAGCACTACATTAGTTTGCACGTGCAGGCAACGCACATGCTACCGGGTTATATCCAGTATACTGAAAATTGGATCCCGGGTAGCTACATAGTCTCGAATTGTAACATTTGAGCTAACGCAGATCACATTTTCTAATGCTTAGAACTCAAGTTCTAGCTTAGAACTTAATATTAATTTTTAATTTGTACAGTAATATTAATGGACTTAAGGAATACAAAGCAGTTGATAACTAAGTAATTCTTGAACATCGAATGAAATGTGAAGCACTTCAAACGAGGCTAAAGACAATGCTGTTTTGCTGTATTTACCTTATTTATCGTAGCTGCAACGCTTTAGGGGTATCGTCCACCGAAGGGGGTTGCGAGTAATTGAAGGTCAAACCGTTGCAAAATGATTGGTTGATCAGACAATTTGAAAAACTGCCAGATTTCGTTTAGTTATGCTATTGAATGATTTGAATTGCAAAAACGACTTATAATAACGGTACAGTCTTCAGTAATAAGGAAAGGCGATTAGTCAACCTACATTAATCCTTGCAATTTGTAGTGCCGTGAAGATTCATTTGTACTTTAAATGCATCAAAAGGAGGTGCCGATATTACGTGTTCTGGTATAGAACACCAGTAATTTAATTCTCGATATATGAAACGAAACTCCAGAAATGAACGATTCGGTCCTGGTAGTGAATTTTCTTTAAATGTCCTCTCAAGTAACCAGCCCTTGAGGGAAGGAAAAGACAGAACATATTAACACATAAATCACCGTTCAGTATACGCTAAGCCAGTACTAAATCAACTCGAAACCTGCGGTAAGACAACAGAAGAAGGTTGATGAGTTTCAGTCTATCTCCATAAAGTGTATCCATGGGATATTTTACCACTTTGGTCCCTCGACGTTGAATTCGTTCTAGCATTATCTACTTCATACTTGAAACATGGACTTGCTATTGAATCTCACATTATAAATGCGGCCCCACAAAAGTCGGACAAATTCTCGTTCAGGTGATGAAATGACTGACGGATAATTCATCAGACCCTGAAGCCTTTGGCAGAAGCATCCTGACGGTGAGTCATAGTTCTAATGTTGCTGCTTATTATGATTCCTGTCTTTTTACTCCATCACTAGGTAACTTAATCTCGATTATTGTGCAGTATTATGATAGACTGTTGCTATTTATTTGCATGAATATACTTTGATAACTGCTCATACATCTATTCAGCTGGTGAATTAAGTTCATCCTATAATATTATTCTATCTGAGACTGTGTCAACATCATCAAAATCACCCGAAATTGATACGACGGACTACAGTACAAAGTCCTGAATAGAGGACACTTGACAGACGCATTCCAAGTGAGCACTAGAGTCAGACAAGACTGCCTACTCTCCCCTTCTCTTTCTCCTGGTGATCGACTGGGTTATATAGACCTCGACATCTGAGGTGGAGCACGGATTACAATGGACGTCTCGGAGTCGATGAGACGATTTGGACTTCGCAGATGACCCGGCCTTTCTGTCCCATACACACGAACAAATGTTGATAAAGACAACGAGTGTGGCAGCAGCCTCCGCATTAGAATGCCTCAGTATACACAAAGGAAAAGCAAGACCTTCAAATACAACACGGAGAACACTGACCTGTTGACACTTGATGGATAAACTCTGGAAGAGGTAAGAACTTTCACGTACCTGGGAAGCATTATCGATGAACAGGAAGAATCTGATGGTGACGTAAAAGCTATAGTAAGCAAAACAAGTACAGCATTTCCACAGTTGAACAACATATGGAACTCAAAATAACTATCTGAAAGCCAACATCAAACTGGAAATCTTTGACACGAACATGTAGACAGTTTTACTGTGCGAAGCCGAAACTTTGAGGACCACTACAACCATCGTGAAAAAGTGCAAGTATTTATAGATTACTATCCACACAATATACTCAATATCCGTTGACCAGATATCATCAACAACAACCTACTGTGGGAGAGAACAAATCAGCTTCCGTTTTATGAGGAAATTAGGAAAAAATGCTGTATGTAGGTAAGACACAATATTGTGGAAGTCATCATACCGCGCCTTGAGGCGAGCGCTGATTTGGAATCCTGAAGGGAAACGGAATATATGAAGAACAAACAACACATTCAGCCGGAAATTCGAGGCAGACATGAAAAGGATGAATAATAACCGGGAAGAACTGGAAAGGATTGTCCAGAACAGAGTTGAGTGGAGAATGTTGGAGGATGATCTATGCTACTCCACGTAGGGTAACAGACGTACTTTAGTAAGTAATTGAGATGCTGTGCGTGTATCTACAAATATTGATATAAGCGGAGATGAATGACAGAGACAGCGTTGCTACAACCGATTAGCCATTTACACAAAGGGAAAAAGGAAAAGGATTGAGGATTGTACTTTGGAAAACGCCGCCTTTAAAAACATTCAACGTCGATGGAGGACCATTTACCCATATCCGTTTTATGAATGGCCTTAAGCAGTAGTTTTTGGGCAATTTTATTATTGTTATACCTCGATATGATTATTAGAGCTATTCGAATCACTGTGCGTACCAAGGACTCTCGAAATAGTACAGTTTAAGGTAGATAAAACTAGATCAGCACCAATGAATCTATCATATTTGGGAATTCGTAATACAAAGGAATCACCAGTTAGTACGAATAACACACTCGGTTGGTGTTAGGTACATGAATAACAAACCTGTTGCGCAAGTGTACATTTGCCATAATGTGACTTCGTAACCTACCAGACTTTACGTAGAAGTCTCGTAGTTACCTATACAAACTCATCCTCTCGTGACACCCAGTAACTGATACTGAAGACTTCTGAAGGATATATTGAGTCTAAGAACAGAATAATATATTTGATAAAAAAGTAGCACTTGAATGGGCTAGCTATTCCGTCTTCTTCAAGTGTTCCTTAGTTCACCATCTGTGTTCTTAACCACTTCAACCATCATTGATTTCATTTCCTGCACTAGTTTAAGATTCACGTTGGTTCATTTACATCTATTCTGCAATGCGCTTCAGAACTTGGCAGGAGATATGTATAAACTGAGTAAATGCAGGTTGATTGGGGAAACCCTGTTCTCAGTGGATCGTCACGTAACAAGCAAACTTAAGTGATTTGCTAAAAAACACATAAGACAAATGAGCTTCGGCAGATGAGTTAAAATTTCAGAACATAATTACATGTGAGAAAATCAATCGCATTTATTTCCGCCTCGTTGCGTTACATCAATATTATAGGTACTTTATGGCGGTGGACTTGTTTCTGTCTTTTGTCGTCATATTCTTATCAGCGTTTAGTGACGTTTAATTTTGCGACAGTTTCCATTGTCGATAGCACAAACAACATGGCCGTCTGACAACCAATGTGCCATTTTACTGCAGTGACATTTGATTGATAAGCAGGTCTTTTAGAGGTAGAAAACATATATATTCTGGAATTATCCGGTCATCAAAGTTTTCAGAACACCACTCGTATTAGAGGACTTATATATGGGAAGCCCGGCAAAAATGATGGGGTTGGTTTGAGAGGCTGTTGGCTTAAACTGACATATTCCTTTTAAAAAGTGTACTTTACATAGGGGAGCTACGAATCACAATATTATCTAGCTCGGTCAGGTTATATATGTAGTATCTGCAGCAACTGACTATTGACACGAACCATGTTGTGAAATACAGAATTTTTAAGCAGCTAATCCTCTATGAATCTGAATAACCTTGATTGGTGCGAAATATTTATCAACTTCGTATGCATCCTTATTTGAACCCTTCGTATAATCAGTTGCAATAGCGCTATATTAAAGAGCCATAATCGAAAGGTTTGATGTTAGTCTCATATTAAACGTACCATGACTGTGTAAAGAAAGTTTGAAGTGCGATGACCGAATGAAGTGTATTGAGATAGATGCAAAATGTGCATACATCTTCAGTAGATATAGTCTAGAGATTTAATCCAATGGTATAGACATGCATTTAATCAGTTGCACGTATAAACAAATTGCGGTAGTTAAGAGTCCTCAATGATTCTTGTGAATGAGTACAGAATAATCAACAAAACTAAAATCGTACACTTTATTGTCTCACAATTGGTGTACTTCATAAAAGTTCATATCGGTAAGGATTTTCAAGTTCATCGCACTATGAGACTAAGGTCGAGGCCAGTATTAGTGCACAGTTTTGCGCTGCTAGAATACAAGACGTGATTTAATACTGTGGATTTGTCATGATATGTATGGCCAATTCATGAGCCATATCATTTTCTATACTGACTCAACAAATCAGGACAGTCGTAGTGTGTCCTCTAATTAAACAATACAGAACATATTCAATGTGGTAATAGAATAATGTACATGGTGTAAAGAGCGAGAGCTTGCATAGAGTGACTATGCCTGTATAGGCGAGTCACCTGTCCTGATTAAGTGTTCCCGCGTCGAAATTTGGTGACCCTGTGCAAGTGTTTGACGTCTAATTTAAGTCTCCTCAGTGATCGTTTGTTCAGCCTTAAAGATTCTGTGATCGGGAACCGGTGTCACTACAGTAACATTTTTGTGAATTCCAGGAACTTAAGTATACACTTGTGCCACTGGTTTTTTTAGTAATGACAGCGGACAATAACTTCTTAGTAATAACATACCAAAGCGTTCAAGATGGTACTGTTAAAAAATATAGGTACAGAACAATCTAAATATACACAGTGTATCAAGGAAAAGTCATTTGCTCTGGGAGATTTAAAATGAGAGTAAACTGGATACTATGAGGACAGAGAATTTTTAACTGACCCAAGGAATAATATGAGGTGCCCTTTTACTCGTAGTCTGTGTCCATGATCCACCACGACTGCCTCAGTCACCGACATTTCTGTTGCAAAATTACGTAACAGTCTGACGGACAAGAAATATACGTTCAGTAAACCCTGAACTCCATGCTCATTTACAAGAAATAGCTAAATGGCCTCAAACCTGCGTTTCGTAGACGAATTATAGTGAAGATTTACTAATGCACTTTTGACATGGTAATTTATACTAGTACACCATCAACAGAAAATCACTCCCAAAATAATTGTTAAGTATAAACTGAGAACGGATGCACATCGCACCGGACCAGTTAATAAAGGTTTTCGAACGTTGCAGTCAATTCATAAATTTCCAAAAATCTTTTATGCTTCATTTCCGTGAGACCTCACCTAAAATACCGTTTTTAGAGAGTTATTACATGTCTAAAGAAGATTGACAATGCACTTGAGCTCATTAAGGGCTAAGGAATTTATTCGTTAACACGTTTGTTCGGGCGCTTCCATGCAAATCGACCGAAAGAGCCAAACATTTGCTCCCCACTTCATATAACATGAAGTGACCTAATATCGACATTCCGCGTTTTACGTAAAGACTTTAGTGCCAAAATGTCTTATTTGTCTGCTCCGTCTAGCGCCATTTACGTCCAGGGGTAAAAACATATTTTTTTGCGTATAACACCAAGGGAACCAATTGTTTTGGACAGGTTTTACTTCAATAATAATAATTACAATTCGTAACTACTTTTTTACTAAAGGTTTCTAACTTGGTGTTAGTAATGAACATCATTATCGCCCCTAAATATTGATTACGCTTATCCACTCTAGTAGATGAAAGCGTTGACAGAAACGTGAGGCGAATGAACCATTCAAATTTAACTTCAATCTTAACGAACATAGTATAGTAGTGTTAATATCCTCACCACGTCAACCAACTGGTCAGTGAACGCCCTCGATGGGAAATCAAATCGTGTCTCTCAAATAAACCAATCAACTTGCTTTCAGTGTTACTGAACGAAGAGAAAATATATGGTGTGAAAATTTGGATCAACACAAATTCCACTATTACGTGTTTTTTGCGATCGAATAAATAAACCAAACTACCTTAATGTGATTCAATTGCTCAAATGCTACTTCTGGGTCGAGTATGTGGGTCGCTCGGAGCTCATAAAGAACACTTGAGACCAACTTTATCCAAATTTTCCCAACATATTTTGTATTCTGTTCCGATGCATCTTATTTCTAAATGAGCGACATTTATCTTATAATTTTCGTGTATTTTGGGTTATTTTGAAAATGAAGACTTTGAAAAGTAAGCCGAGATATGCAATTTAATTCATCTATGAATTATTAGGACATTTTACTAGTGTATGTTTGTTTTAGAAAACCAAGTGCTTGGACGTTATACGATGCGCGTCTTTCAATAGGGTGAAATTAGCCGTTTTCCTCACAAGTGCTCTCCTTTCCAGGGTGTAGTTTCTCTCATGTCATATTTATCATCAGTTTGTTCAGTCTAACATTCAAAGTGTTATCTAGAAACGTTTTAATTCCATTGAATGCTGTTTGCATAATACTGTATTTTATGTTTTGTTTGTTTGTCTTCGTCCACTGATCAACTGTTCGTTGCATTTAAATTGTCCTCATTTGAAATAAAGTTTATACAATATGTTTAGCAATATTAAGCGCAAATTAACTCACCCACGCCCAAAGCCTAATTCTCCTACTGCCCAGTGCTTAACAAAAAAGGATGAAGGAACTACAAAGAAAGACAGAGTTGAATTCGTCAGTAAGTTTCTTGTGTTTTTAGCTATTGTAACGTTTTGTCTGTTTTTTCCTGTATTTTTGGGGAAGCAGTTCAGAACCTATAGTCATGCTGATAGTCTTGAGGCCATTAATTTAGCGTATAATTGAAATACGACTTTTCTAGGTCATCTGAACCATGAAGCACTATCTTAAAGTTGTGCATGAGAATCATACTTAACTCCGAAAAACATGCGAACATTCATCTTAAAACACTAGGTGACAACACATTCGACTCCATGAATATCGATTTATTTACCTAGTTTTACGCTCTCGTTTTTCTAATCATCCCATTTCGTTGGTTTTCCTACTTTATTTATCAGTCTCATGGTAAATAGATTACTTTGTATTGGGTTTCTCAATTAACTAAGTCTGATTATTTGATACCCTGTAGATAACCCCCTGCCCTCATATAAATGGTTCCAGCAGCTACTTATCACTGCCCACTAGCTAACAAGTTTGCTGAGCTCGAATAAAAACACCACTGTCTGTTTCGCTTAGAATAATAAAATATGACTTTTTCTTAATTTAAGATAGCTGTTTTTCAGGTTAATTCTTTCCAAATGCTGTTGCAATTTGTGATATACTGGACACGTGTATTCGTTTTTTTTATCCACCAGTCGTTACAGGTTGACCTAAAGCATTTCAGTGACCGGTTAGTGCGTTAAACTTTATACCTCTAAGTTTAATTTAATTGTTCGATACTGATACTAGAAGTTTTGTACACTCTAGAGAGACAGCTTCACATAATTATGAATACCAGATGTCATTCATTGTAGTATGAATTGAAAAATCCAATTAACACTCATCTAAACCATCTCGTAAAGGTGGGCCATTTGTATGTATTAACTGTGTTTACTTTTTTTGTTCTAGCGATGACCAATAGACAAATTACAAAGGAAAATAAGAATTTATCACGCTCATTTTTTGAATGCTTCTCGTTTTCTGCTTTCGATACGCACTTATTTTCGGAAGGTGGTTCGAGGTAACCAAGGTTTCATGCTATTCGGCACCCGTCAGTACGGTAGTCCGTCGTCATAAATAACCTAATGGTCCCTAACAGACTCATCCACGATCTCATTTTCTAACCATGCCTTTGTTCTTGTTTGCCAGTTTTTTTGTCTTATAGTGTTTGCCTAGACTTATGAGTTATTTCAGTTTCTTCTTAGTTCTGTTTAATTCCACCTTCATTTCATGTTTCTTTGTTTTGAGTTTAAATGGTTCGAATTTATATAGGCTCATTTAATTTGGTAACTAAACGCGAACCTGTACACCCAGTTTCCTTCATTTTTTCCTGTGAAGGCTAGTTACAGATAATATTTAACTACCCCAACCTAATTATATAGAACCAGATCTAAACACCCACCCAATTCACTCATATTAGGTTTCAGAATAATAAAAAATAATCTATGTAGCTCATATTTCAAAAATCATAAATATATTCGCATTTCTGTCGTTGACGTGTCTTGAAATCGGCTCCAGTGGCTCGGATGTATTCACTCTTTATCTTGAAGTAACTTATTTTGCAACTTCGTTCTGTCTTCTAGTTTGGCTACTATTTTCTTTTGCTAATACTGCTATTGCTACTGATAATAAAATTTGTCTCGATGATTTCATCTTTCTGTGCCGGTATGTTATGGCAACTTTAGCCGATGCATATAAGTCCCAGGTTCTATGTTGCTTATGATTGATTGACTGGGTTTCTGTCACTTCGCGTTGTTCATAAGAACGAATTCTAATTTCCATGTAAACTTGGTAAAATAGGTAGTAATTCATATAAAATTTTCAGCAAGCCCCTATTTGAGTGAAAGCTTCATCAGAAAAATCACATTCAAAAATGAGATTTCATTTTCTGAACTTCAAATATCCTAAATAACTATTTCAAAATTTTGGTTCAAATTCATTTCACACGTGGTTAACATTTCGATGGTGTTAGAAAATGTTTATCATACGGGACATATTTGAAATTTAGCTGAACAAAACTATTTCTATTCACATAAAGTAACTGAAACCACTAATAAGTATAACGGAAATTTTTTTATACTGTCTCTATTTATCTATTCCCTTTCCAAAAATAATCAGCTTGCTTAATATATCGATCTGTCTGTTTATTGGCTATCAGCTTCTTTGATAGCAGTATACATAACTAAGTTAATTTATCCTTTGGCAATAGTTATACGCTATGATTTTAACCACATTTATATACATATGTACACATACATGCTGATACATATCGTATAACTGAGTTAAATGCTTAAGAACCCGATAAGTAATGATAATAGTTGATTTTGATCAGATAATGAAATAAATTAGATTGTTTAATCATGTATTTAAAAAATGTTGAATAACTTAAGTTGAAAATAATTATAAACACATTATGTGCTGTTTTCCATCAGTTTATAAAATTGAAACATACTAACGACATAAAGATAAAACTCTGTCATGAAAGGTGTTGATTCATTCTAATGTGCTCAGAAAGTTTGCTCGAATATTTTAACTTCCTTTCTAATAACCTAAAAATATAACTAAACTTACTATCCTACTGAGTATCTGGAATTCTCTTAATGATCATTTTCAAGGGATACCCAGTGTGTTCAATAAATACATGAACTAGGCTGATGTGATTCCTAATAAAACTTTCGAAAAATATCAGAAAAATCACCAAATGTTTAGGGCTATTATGCAGATAAAGTACAAAAAAAACTTTTATGTAAATCAAACGTTTAATCGAGATCTGTAAAGACTAATAGAACGATTTGTGGTCAGAATGACCTCCGACCTTCTGTGTTGATGAAAATGTTGAATGTGTTCTATCTCTTATTGTATGATTGCCTATTCACTATTCTGATGACTAATGAATAACTGAATGTGAAAGCCTCTTCTTTCCTGTCAACTAAATTCAACCACTTAACATTATGTTTAATGCTTTTAAAATTTGATGTCAGACAGCATATGTGTTTTAACTATTACGTGATGCGTGGTATATCGAAATGTAGAAGAAAAACACAATAATAACATTGATACTAGTCTCCAAACTAGATAAAAAATTTCAAATATATTACTAATCATATTTTTAATGAATAATGTCTTTTACTTAGCTCAAATATATTAGTGTAGGCAGCAATCATCAATAATTAGTTCTTATGTGATTACAGTGAGATTTATTTTGATGTATGGTTAATGAGTTGATGATGAAAAATATTAGGGAATTTAACATAAATTCTACAACACTTAATTTCAGTAAGACGTAAACATATTAATAAAACTAAGTGAATTCATTTACACCACTGTGACTAATTCTAAGCCATGTCACCCAACGTCTGCACTCACTGATCCCAGTTATTGCATGAACCCCAACTAGGTAGTCTTCACTTACCAACATGACCTAATCCAACAGTTGGGGATTTCATGAAGTGATGTCACGTTTTCGTTTGGTTCACTCCTAACTTTCTCCCAACTTATTTCTACACCACCAGTAAAAATCATGCATCAAAAATAAGAAGTATAAGGTGTCTTAAGATCTGTAGAAAAGTTAGAGAATAGATGCAATTAATCCGTTGTAGCCGATTTTAAACCATTTCGTAATTGTGATGTAAATATAGAAATAGTGTACCTCATTAGTCAAATTCACGTCCATACACTATACTTTAATTCACACGTGTTTACGTATGTACGTATATATGTATTAGGTTAATTAACAATACTCAGTTGCCTAAATCGAAGTAGATGGAGCAAGATTTCAATTCCATACACACATTAGATAAAACTCTTTTATGTTTATCGCTAAATCATCGTTTTACACGGACGGAAAATCATATAGTGTTTGTACTTCTTCACACTACTGTTACCCCAGTGATACTTATCCATTAACTATTAAAAACAAGATCAATACGATAAATAAAGGCATTAGTTGACTTATGAAAGGACTATCAAAAGTAATCTACTTTATTCAGTAAGATATTTATATTTCATATCTAAATACAGGAAACCGATTCAAATTAAACTATGACTAAAATTTTCCTCTTACTCATTATATCTATTCTTAGAAATTATTTTTTTTGCAACAAAAGCTATCTCTGATCATCTTGGTTTGTGACAAATTAAGCATAATCTTTTAATGAACTCTCTAGCAATTGGTTCTTATGCTTTTTCTGTTCATTTTGAACCGTATAATCCAGTTTCATATTGAATGAGATTTTTAAGTAGATTTATATTCACTTTTATAATAGCTTTCTTTTGTCTAGTGAAATCAATTAGAAACCATTTTGAAAAATATTCACATATAGTTTAAAGATAATATGGTTTGCATTTGATTACAATCGTGAGCGAATGTTTACATCTTGTAAATCTTGAGTTTTATTATCATAAAATTCATTTTAATTTGTTTTTCGCTTTATATTTTCTATGTTGCTGTTATTATTATTATTATGACTTCCTGGCCTTCCTTTTTTCATTTTCACTTTTATTTCGCTGGTTTGAAGTTTGGAACAACGTAAATTGATTCGCAGATTTGTGTATCAAATCTCACATTTTTTGTATCCAATTAATTGATCGACTGTTTGATACATTTCTAAACAATTAGAATTGAGATGTGACATGAATTGGTGGTTGGAAGAAGTAGATAGGAAACCCTGGACCTAGGTTTCGTGTTATTTGGTACTCATCAGCAACGTTTACCTTTAATCTTGAGGAAACTGACGCTCCTTGGCGCATTCTGTCGCAGCCACCACCTTACATCTCAATATAGTTCACGTGATGTCGGGTCACCTGGACTAGTGGTCACAATTCAACTTGATCTACAGAATTTGATCTGAACTATGAAGGACCTGACATGAAATTTGTCACTACCCAGTGATCAGTCAATTGTGAATTGGAACTGGGGCAGCTTGGTCAGTAGTTCCTACATATTACTCTTGAATTTTTTATTCCAATAATCCATATTTTCATCTTGAATCATATAATGCATGCTCAATTTTTTTACTGCCA